ATTAGAATGAGTTTGCCCATAAATAATACTCCCTCAATCTCATTTTGTAAGATATGTTTCCTATTCACTTGATCAACACAAATCACTCTTAATCTCTTACTTTATATATTAATTTTTTGTCAAATTTGATTCTGGATTTTGCGACTTTGTAAAGTTTTTATTGTACTTTCTGAATATGTAATTCTTTTTTCTAAAAGTAATTTGAGTGCGGACAGGGATCCGTTTGCTTTATCGCCGATCAAACATCGTAAACCGTAACCAATCCAACCAGTGACCAAACCAACAAGTCACCATGACCAATTCACCTAGTAACCATGACCAATCTGACCAATGAGCAACCCGACCAACAACCATGACCAATCCGACCAGTGACCAACTCGACCGACAATCATGACCAATCTGACCACTGACCAACCCGCTCAACGACCGTGACCAATCGAACCAGTGACCAACCCGACCAACGATCGTGACCAATCCGACCAGTGACCAACACGATCAGTTACCATGACCAATTCGGCCAATAAACAACCATTGACGAATGAGAACGCCTCCGCCCGACCACCGCCGCCGCCGCCCGCACCTACACCCTCCTCATCCACCTCCCCTGCACCAGCTCCTCGCCCCCTCCCCTCCCCTGCACCAGCCCCCTCCCCTGCACCAGCCCCCTCCCCTGCACAGCCCCCTAGCTCCCCTGCATCATCCCTCCTTACCCCCTCCCCTGCACCAGCCCCCTCTCCCCTGGACTAGCCCCCTCGCCCCTCCCCTGCTCCAGCCCCTGTCCCCAGCACCATTCGCAACCCCTTTTATCTCCAACCCTAGACGCCACGGACGCTGGATCTGGGCCGTCTTGTTGTCGTTCGTCATTCTGATCGTCAATCTCCGATGGTCACCCATCGCCAGCCATCACTAGTCGCTTGTTGCTAGCCATCGCTAGTCGTACGTTGTTGTCACTCGTCTAGAATATGATGGATCTTCGCCATTCTAGAAAAGAAACGAGAAGAAGATGATAGATCTATAACGTCCCACGCTCCGAGTGCGGTGCGATGACAAGGGATGAAACGACGACGGGGGAAGCGGCACGGTTGCTCGACGGTGGCGCAGTTGCTCGGCGACGGCAGTCTGAAATGGGAGATGGAGCATCTCTTTGGTTTGCTTTGTCCGCAAGTCTTTGATTTGCTTTGGTCCGCAGGTTGGTTATCTGCAAGTCTCTTTTTTGTCCTTCAATTCCTAAGAATACTCCTATTGTTGTCATTTCAAGTCTCAAACTTGTTTTTTGTCATTATTTCTATTAGAGTTGTAAAATAATCACTTTATACTTTATTTTTTAAAAATTCTGCATTAAACCACAAGTACATTACATCATGGGATAGAAGTATGGTATCTATGTAACACCGTCCCCAAATGTATTTACTTTTAAGTGAATAATGTATTGAACCTTATGGAATGTTTAATGAGTATACGAAGTTGTGAAGTTTTATCAACTCTTTTGCGTGAATAGTAAATTCGCACGTGGGGCCCACACCGGGAGCGGGGGCCGCCCGTAATTCCCGAAACCATATATTTTATTTATCTTGGTCAAGATAATATTTATATAGTGTTGGATATTTCATTTGGTCCGTGGAAAGGCCCAGAGTTGACCGATTGGCCAAAGAAGGCCCAGATACCGATATCGGTAATTTAACAGATAACAGCCCGAAATGAATTTCGGAGGCTTATAAATTAAAGTTGGGGAATGTATATTCCTTGTAAGGGTCATAATGAGTGGAAACACATAATATATTTTAATTGACCCGATAAAATAAAATATATTTAAACTAGTCCGAAAAATACAACTTTCGGGACCGATTGTACACTTCTGGACAAAAAGGGTTGACCTCCCACATAGGTGGGGTCCAACCCACGAATTTAGACACACAAAATGAGGTGTGGGGCGGCTGAGTAAGAGGAGGAAGATGGGTAGAGGTTGGGTTGACTTGAGAGGCATCTAAAGGACAAAGGTGGGTCTCTCAACCCACACATGATTGCCTATTGAGACAAAAAGCCAACCCCAACCCCCTCTCTCCATCATTTTCGACCACCCCAACCAAGAGCAAGAAAAACTCCATCCACCTCTCACCATTGTTGAAGGAAGCTCCAACAAGAAGGAAGCTCCAGGGAAGAGTTTAAGTTCTAAAAGTGTACAAAACTCGGGGAAAAACTAGGTAATGACTCCTTTTACCTTTCTCTTCTCTTTTTCTTGAATATATTATTATTTGAGAAATTATGAAGAACCCTAGGATTGTTCTACATGTTGATAAATGTGGAACAAGGGGTTGGAAGGTGGTTCTATGTCAAAAATGGATTTAGAAGCCAAACCGACAAGTTCACTGGGAAATAACCTTTTAGAGGTTATGTGTATTGATTAAGGTTTTATGATGTTAAAACCTTGTTAGGAACTTGATTTAGAGTATCTTTGAGCTTCGCCGGAGTTTCGCCGAAGTTGGTCAAAGTTTGCCGTAGTTGGTCAAAGTTAGTCAAAGTTCAACCGGGAAGCGTAGAACGCGCTTAAGCTCACTTAAGGTGAGGATGACCGACTATATTGCTTATAATTATTGTGTTAATTTCATGAGATTACCTAAATGAATTAAAAGTGTTTGGCATGGTTTATAAACGATAAAAATGTGCCTAAACGAAATTAATATTGTTTATAAGTGAAAGTGCATAATATACAAATTATGAATAAATTGTGTATGATTATGTGTTATGAATAAAATGGCATGATAGATGTATTAACCATGAATGTTCATTGTGATAAATATACTTTTACCTCATGTAAAGAATTCATGGAAGGATAAAAGTGATATTTTGATATTAAAGCCAAACTATACTTGAATGTGGAATTAAATTGAAATATACGAACTAATATGAATTTGCATTGGATATATTAAGATTAAACGACTAGTATAGAATTACTAGTCGGAAATGATAGTTCAATAGTCTTTGGAGATAATCCAAGATATTGGAGCTAAGCAACTTTAAAGGATATTTTTAAGGAAACTTTATGAATCCAAGTTACATTAGGAGTAAGCCTTAAGGGTTACTCAAAGGGATGGAACCTAGACTAAGAAGATTGTTTAGGATTAGATGACGTGACTATGAGCCGAGCTCTAGCACGTGGTAGTATGACTATGAGCCGAGCTCTAGCAAATGTAGTATGACTATGAGCCGAGCTCTAGCAAAATGTAGTATGACTATGAGCCGAGCTCTAGCAAAATGTAGTATGACTATGAGCCGAGCTCTAACAAAACGTAGTGTGACTATGAGCCGAGCTCTACCACAAATTAGTATGACTATGAGCCGAGCTCTAGCATGAAGGAACGTGAGTTGATTATAAAATGACAACATCCTAGATTGAGGGTCTTGGAAATTGAAACTTTGATTATACTTAGTATAGTTGTCATTGTACTTGTCAAATGCTTCCAAGTACTGACCTCCCCTTCACGGGGGAGGCCACCTCACAGTTTCAGGTAGAACTTGAAGGTTGCTACCATCGTCGTTGCTTCGGGAGGATCCAAAAGGAGGAGACGTGGTTCGTGCTCCCTCCGTTTTCCATTTTATAAACATTTTAATTAATGCTCATGGATATTATTTTAAATATTTATTTGGGGCTTGTATGCCCATGTTTGCCAAAGTGTGGCATGAACACTTGTATTGAATGTTTCCGCTGCTTTGAATGAATATTTTACATTATGTTTGTTTATGGATGTACTATGTGTGAACGATATTCCAGACGCCTTGTATAGTATGGATGTAGGCCTGTCAATGGGTCGGGTCTAGACCCGGACCCGACCCGAACCCGGTTATTTTTAACGGGTATGGGTCTACATTTTATTCCGTTTACCCAGACCCGGATCCGGACCCGTTAGTATATTTAATAAACGGGTCGGGTACGGTACATATGATTCTGACCCGTTAAGGACCCGGACCCGTTTAAAATTTCTTATTTGTATCCAAACAGTCTAATACATACAGTAATTAGTTATAACACTTCAAGTAAAAAATTACAAACTATACACACACACATAATAATAATAATAATAATAATAATACATAAAATTATTAGTTGTAATTCTTCAATTGAAAATACACACACTAATACATACCTATTAGTGTGTGTATTAAATTAATACCCATTTTGACCGTTTATTCATAGTGATAAATGTGTATTATTAATATTATTATATCATTATCATACACTCCATACAATATGTTTTTATACTCTCAATAGTCAAAGACATCTTTTGTGACTTAATTTGAAGTTTATGCTACGAGCTCTATGTATGAGAAAAAGCGACACAGAGTGTTGAGTTATACGCAAGAACCGATACTTTATTGTATAAAAGTAATAACATGAGAAACCTTGATTTGTTAAAAAAGTGAGGATATATTTTGTTTTTTAGTTTCCGCACTTTTCTTTACATTTCACATAGAGGTCTTGTTATTTTCACAAAATTTATAACGGTATCATACTTGGCGGGTCTACCCGACCCGGTTCCGAGACCCGTTGGGTCCGGGTCCGGGTCCAAATTTTCAGACCCGCCGGGTAAACAGGTCGGGTCTGGGTCCATTATTAACTTAGCGGGTCCGGGTCTGGAACACTACGTTCCGGCCCGGACCCGACCCATTGACAGGCCTATATGGATGTGTTGGACTGCGGTTGACTATTCGTACTGTACGGCGGATTGTTGACGTGTCCGGGGCGTGACAATCTATCTCTTCTAAGGGTCATTCTTTGTGTACACAAAATGTGTTCACAAATTGTATATTGTCTGTGTACATAGACAATTAGGGTGTTTTTTACATCAAATTCCGCATCTTTTCAAATGAATTGCCCGTGTACACAAGCAACTAGGGGAGTTTTGTGTACAGTGTGTACAACTCATGTATGCTAAAAAAAATCACTTCTATTCGGGTGGTGGATGGTATCTTTATATATACCTGAGTACCCAAGTGTTTATATCGTCCAAACTCGAAAGTGATTCCAAGCGCGCAGTTAAGCACTTAAGCTAACTAGCTCTTAGCCATGGCTAAGAATTCCATGACTCTTCCCATTTTAAGCATCTCCCTTGCCTTTTTCTTCTTCTTTCTGATCACTTTTCCGGCTACCGGAGAAGAGCAAATCTTCGGAAAGGCGGTAGACCGGAAATCTCTTGGACTCAAGAAGGAAAAAGCAAGTCATTTCCGCTTCTTTTGGCACGACGTTCTTAGCGGGACCAAGCCAACCTCAGTCATAGTCATCCCGCCGGCGAAAAACTCGTCGCCGATGACCATCTTCGGGCAGACAAACATGATGGACAACCCGCTAACTATAGGGCCGGATCTGAGCTCCAAGTGCGTCGGAAGAGCCCAGGGGATCTATGCTGCGGCGGGTCAGGACGAGCTTGGGTTCTTGATGGTGATGAACCTGGCTTTCATTGAGGGCAAGTACAACGGCAGCACCCTCACCGTGCTCGGCCGGAACCCGGCGTTACAGAAGGTCCGGGAGCTGTCCATCGTCGGCGGCAGTGGGCTTTTCCGGTTCGCTCGCGGCTACGTTGAGGCCAGGACTCAATGGCTTGATTTAAAGACAGGCGATGCCACGGTTCAATATGATGCTTATGTGTTGCATTATTGACCCACCATCGGCTATAATTTGTTTGTCTCTTTAAACCATTAATTAATTATATTATTAAAAGAATTGAACTTTTCTATTTGAGGTGTTTTGGAGTTGAATTTTTTATTAAATTTTGTGACCATGTAAGCTATTGAAACATAAATTATGATCCCAAAATTTCAGTTCCAAATTCGATCGGGAAGTCAGTTAAATATATTATTAAAAAACATTGTGTTTTTTGTATACAATTTGATATAGTGATTTTCAATAATTTATTTAACTTATTTCCCGATTGAAATTTACTTTGAAATTTTTGAACATAATTTACATTTTATTAAAAAACATTCTCACAAATTTCATCAAAAAAATTAGCTCCCAAGCAGGGGCGGATCTAGGATTCAGAGATGCCCTGGGCTTAATAAGAATTATACTAGGCTTAAATATTATAGGGGTGAGCTAAATGTGAAAAATGAACAAATTTACACTAAAAAATTAAAAAAGTTCTCAGTTGCCCTGTGCTTCAGCATATCATAGTCCGTACATAGATCCTCCCCTGCTCCCAAGCATCTCAAATGGACAAGTTGGAAAGGTGATCCTGATCAAAACTACGTAACAGTATCATTACTCTAGACAAATAAAAGTGTGTTAGTACGAAATAGGGGTGTTAGTACAAGAGTAGTTCCTTGGTGCTTTAATTTAAAAAAAAGATGTCCTTAATCATGATGGACCGACGGAATTTCTAGGACCACTATGTTGTGGACCAGTATGCTACTATGCTTTGAGGCATTTTAAGCTTTTGTACTATTCTTAGTGTTTGTCCTCTTTATTTGACTATTTTGTTTACACTTAATGTTACATGATCAACCTACTCATCATGTTTTCCTTTGGACTGAAATTTGCTGGTCTGGTCTGATCTGAACTGGTCTGGTCTGGTAAACGTTTGGTCTCTGTGTATTTTATAACTACGGAAGTCTGATCTGATCTGGTTTGGTCTGATCTGGAACTGAAAACATCCTCAATAGCCGGGCCTCCAATTTGACCTGGAAATAAAATAGAGTCATATGCCTACTCAAAATTGTGGTCAAGACATCGTATTACATTATATGAAGTACTCTCTCCCTCCCGGAGACAAGTTCCCACTTTCTTTATTTGGATGTCCCAAAACAAACTTTCCATTTCCCTAAATGGAAAGTTATCCTACACCAAAACAGTGTCAAACAGTGTCGAAACGGTGTCAAACAGTAAAATTTACCCCTCGGTAACTTTATTTCATTAAAATGTGTGAAAGTCAACCCGGGAACTTATTCCCGGGACGGAGGGAGTATATTTAAGTGCCCTCGTATGTGAAAATGCATTGAATTAAGTTATATACATTTGAATATTGCATTTGTAGACGGTAGTACATCAATTTGACTAAAATTTTGTTAAAACAGACACAAAAAAAGACTAACTTCTTGGAATGGACTAACTTCCTAAGAACTTGAAGTGCCAATAGGTTGCCAACCCCAACAGTCCGAACTTACTCAACTCAGTATTCTGTGGGTCCTTAACACAAGCCGCGGCGGCGCGGCTCCGATCTATTTGTGTTACAGAGTCTAAGGAATGTGAAATTGTGAAGCCATCACAACCTCCCCCATCTTCCTCAACACGCCATTTAAACGCTCGATTTTGTTTATGTATGGACAATTTTGTTTTGTTCTTTAAGGTTTTTTGTTTGTAGCACACACAAAAGAAATTGTGTATGGAGCAGACAATTCACTTTACAAAGTGAAAAATTCTCTACCCACGGATAAAACCAGACGTATAAATAACATGTATATTGCCAAATCTCTTTTCTTAGGAGAAGCACAATACACTTTTCCCATACCCCTTCCTAAGCCACCATTCTTATATTGCCACCCCCTACTTGCTACAACCTTTTTCTTTCCCACATGATATTGCTTCATCACCTCCTTCGGTTCAACCAACTTCATTGATATAATGATATCACCCCTCCCCCTCTCACCTCAACTTCCCCAACCACTCCATAAACCTCCTCACTCAGTCCCTGACCAAATCCCCAAGTTCTTGTTACGTTCTCCACTTCTCCTACCTTTAGCCATGTCACGTATAGTATGAGTGTATGACTTCACTGGGACCTAATTCTCCTTCTAAAATGTATCATGGAGAAGTGATCATATTTCCCATCTAACCATTCGCGTGTGAAGCTGGAAAATTTAACCTTTTGTATTTAAACTCGTCCAATTTCCAATTTCCTTCTCAAAAAATGTTAAGCTACGTCAAAACAAACATATTAAGGCCTTGTTTGAAAAATTACTGATCAACCAGTTTTTAACTGAGTTTTTTACAAGAATATTACTAAAAATATTACTAAAATAAATATGACTATTCATTACTACAATGTGGAGTTGTGGTAACTTCAGCTTAAAATTTGAGCATGAATTACTATGATTTCATTAGAGAGTGACTAGTCATATTTTTGTAAATCAGTAATTATTTCTTGAATTAACTGATTGGACCCTATCAGCCAAAAACGGAAACGTTGCGTACTCCAGCGTTTGGATTCGGCTGGTGCAATTTCTGCCTTTAATGTCCTTCACCGCTCACGCTTGGTTTTTTAATATGCTTCTAATTTCTACGTAGTATTAGTTAGCTTTGTATGTTTTTTTAATTGCTCTGCATTGGTTTTTAAAAACCACAATGCGCACTTTTTTGGGGTTTTGTATCTACAACATTCGTTTCTAATTGCTATGTTAGCTTTGTATGTTTTTTAGTTGCTTTGCATTCATTTTACATGTTTCATTTTAATATCCGCAATGTGCATGTTTATTAATTTCAATTGTTTCTTTTTCTTTTTAAATTTAGTCTCATTTTCAATATGTATTCATACGAGTATTTATTAATATCACGAAACTAATTTTTAATTTCGTTTTCAATTCTTTGTTGACTTTGAATTGCTGGGAGGGATTACTAGGCATAAATTACTGAATTTGATCCATAAGAGCATGCAATAATGAATTTATACGCATTTTCCGTTTCTTTTTTCCGACTAAGAATTTGAGTTTTTTCCCGAAATAATGCTAATTAAATAAATAATTCCCAAAATACTGCTGGGTTAAAAATAATTCCCAAAATACTGCCGGATTAGCCGTGGTTAAGGAAAGCCGCCACTTAAGCCGCCACTTGAAGTGGCGGTTCTTCTCTTACAATACAAAAGCCGCCACTCCAAGTGGCGTCTCTTACAGCACATTTTGTACATATTTTTAACTATTTTTTTAACTATCTTCCCGATTGAATTTTGAGCTGAAATTTGGTATGAATAAACTAGACTTGATGAGGAACATGTTCAAAAAAATTCATCAAAAAAATTCACCGAGAAGACCCTCTGATAGTGTTGTCCGCACGAGGGTTCCGGTCAGGACGTCGTGATAGAATATGACATTTTTATGAAATTTGAGGTGCTTCCGAGTTGAATTTTTTGATGACATTTGGTGATCATGTTCTTCCTAAAGTGTAGGTTATGTTCACCGAATTTCAGATTAAAATTAAATCAAGAAGTTAGTTAAATTATTTATTGAAAAAAACCCTGCATTTTTAGGCCTAAAAGATTGTGCAATTTTAAAAAATTCATTTAATTAACTAACTTCCCGATTGAAAGGAACCAACTGCAGATTCGAGCTATCACTGTCATCATTATGCTCTTACCTCTTTCTCTTCCACTTACTAAATAAATATGAACTCTCTTTGGGCAGTTTATGGCCATTGGAAATAGCTTCAACACCCATATCAATTTTAGCAACCGGTACTATTGCTCTAAGTTCCAATTGCATAATCACAACTTCGTCCGATTCACTTGAGCTCGTGTCTGGAAGACGATGGTAAATTCAAATTTTGTAATCTAGAGAAGCATGTGTAATCCTACAACATACTTCGTACAAACTATTGATAGAAATGCTCAAAGTAATGTAAACATGGAATTGCATATCATATATAACACATGCAGCTAAAACATGATGTCTTATGCATAAATTATCAACAAATATGAAACAATAAGAAATTATAAAACATTGCTTCCGGGAAATAATATACCAAATGATCTAGTTGCATAATTTCTAAAATTTTCGTTACAAAAAATTTGTCATGTGCCTTCTGAAAATGTTCATGTAAGATAAGCCTAACAGTTGCAATTTTAGGCCTATTTCATTTGAGCTATTTCCGGGTCGAATTTTTTGATGAAATTTGGTGAGCATGTTCCTATGGAATGTAGATTATGTCCACCAAATTTTAGATTAAAATTCAATCGGGGAGTTAGTTAAATAAATTTTTAAAAATCATATAATTTTTTAGGTCTAAAAATGCATTTTTTCAATAAATTATTTAAATAACTTCTTGATTTAATTTTAATCTGAAAATTCGGTGAGCATAACCTACACTTTAGGAAGAACACGATCACCAAATTTTATCAAAAATTTCGACTTAGAAGCAACTCAAATTTCATAAAAATGTCGCATTCTTGTCACGACGTCCTGACCGGAACCCCTGTGCGGACAACACCATCAGAGGGTTTTCCCGCTGAATTTTTTTGATGAATTTTTTTAAGCATGTTCCTCATCAAGTCTAGTTTATTCATACCAAATTTCAGCTCAAAATTCAATCGGAAAGATAGTTAAAATAAATTGTTGAAACATACTGCATTTTATATATGTACAAAATGTGCTGCAAGAGAAGAGGCGCCACTTGGAGTGGCGACTTTTGTACTGTAAGAGAAGAGCCGCCACTTTAAGTGGCGGCTTTCTTTAACCACGGCTAACCTGACAGTATTTCGGGAATTATTTTTAACCCAGCAGTAGTTTGGGAATTATTTATTTAATTAGCATTATTTTGGAAAAAAACTCTAAGAATTTATACTCACTTTTGATTTCTTTTTCCCGTCCTGGCCTTTGGTTGAAGTAAAATGATTTATACTTTGTAAATAAATGTAGGTAATATTGTTTTTATATGCAATAACTAAAAAAAACTAAATACTAATAATGTCCTTATATGTCTTTTTACACGCAAACAGTTATTCTCAAATAGCTAATTTACCAAACATTTACAGACAACAAGTTAGCATAATCAGCCAACTAAAATAGCTAACTCAACCAGATATTGTCAATCAGCTGTCATAACCAGTTAATAACTAACAACTAACAACTGATTGCCAAATTAAACATCATTTAAAACTCGGGTACAATAAAATGTTAAATAGACTTTTTGAACTTACCATTATCCACAAATAAGAAGGTCCCATTGAACCAAATGCTTGTGCCACCTTCTCTTTCACACAACTCATGAGCATTTTGCGTATTTTGAGCTAAAACTCGGGATGTTTCAATGGGACGTCCGAACCATTGGTTTTGCAACTCCATGAATGATAAAAAATGCAGTGCTCAAATGATCATGGACCTTGTGATGGGGATTCCCAATTATTAAAGAAATTAGGTCTAACGTAACTAGGTCTGACTGGTTTAATTCGAGTTTAAACTACTATACACTGGACTAGAAATTGTTATCATAAGAACTCTCGATTATAAAGAATGTGACTTAATAACTTTTAGTGATTGTCAAAAAAATAATTTTTAGTGACTTATGTTTTTCAAATTTTACATCATAGTGACCATAAAATTATACTCATAGTCCATAAGTCACATCTGTGTACACAAGTTCTACTTAGTACGGAGCATTATTTTTGGAAAAATATCATTTTGTTATCATTTTCTTTTATCGAATGTTCTGAAATTTTCTTCAATGTTCTTTTTAAGGGTTTAGAAAGAATGATTTTCTTATACAAAACATTACTTTTAAGGAATGATTTGTGTGGTCAACACTATTTCATCTTTTTCT